TTCAACTGCAGGATGGTGCAAGTCGTGTGGTAACAGACGATGTCTGACTTGCCAACACATACTGAATACTCAAACATTTACTTGCCACTCCACTGGGTCTGTGTACACTATATTTTGTAATGTAACTTGCAAAACACAGAATGTTGTATACCTTCTTCAGTGTCGATGTGGCATGCAGTATATTGGCGAGACAGAACAGCCATTCAACAAACGCATGAATGGTCATCGAAGTGACTACACCTGCAAGCCCGACCTCCCCGTAAGTCGTCATTTGAGATCACCTGAGCACGCACAAGCTGATCTCAAAAACCATATAATTACAATCATAGACCACAACGAGGGTTGGTCAAGGGCCGAAAGACTTGCTCAGGAAAGGTTTTGGATAAGAAAGCTAAGGACAGTTTCCCCAGAGGGGGCATAAATGAAAAAACAGAGAATGCGTCACTCATTTTCCCTACCATCACTCATTTTCCTGACATCATTTGTTTCCAGTTACTCCGGCTTCCTTACTTGACCCTTACAGTTTTAAGGATTCTTTTGGAATTTTTTGAATTTTATTAGTTTAAATACCAGGGTTCTTTTCATTTGGTAGGTATGTACAAGTACGCATCCATGTCCATTTTTTTTAACCTTATCCCAAATTTACTATTATTTTTTCTTTTCATTATAAAACTGCTATTTATTTGGGATGATAAAAGCCTCTGTTTCACATATTTTACCAGCTTATATCGATCAGTGCTGTTTTTTTTTGGGGGGGGGGGATGTATTTACACGCAGTTGTTGTAACATCTTAACTGACGTCATTTTGGAATTTTAGAGTTGTGCCAGTTCATATCTCTAATTACTATTTTCATTTTAGGCATGTCTTTGAGTCGTTTTTTGGAAATTTTAAAAGTTTATTAGCGTCTCTACATATGATGTTCGGGTGAAACTGTTTCATTTTTTTATTGTATAGAATTCAAGATTGCTATAGTTTAATAATCAGAATAGATTGATCTGATTCATTTTACATCGTGCTCACACTGATGAAGGTTATCTGTTATCCGAAATATTTATAGTTACCTTTGTTCGTTTATTGTCGTTTTTTGGTGATGTTGTACCCTTTTAGACTGGTTATATATATATATATTCAAATGTACATAAAATTGAGAATGGAAATGGGGAATGTGTCAAAGAGACAACAACCCGACCAAAGAGAAGAAAACATCCGAAGACCACCAAGGGGTCTTCAACACACCTTGAAAATCCCGCACCCGGAGGCGTGATTCAGCTAGCCCTTTAAACAAAAATTTGAACAAGTTCAGTGATAATGGACGTTATATTAAACTCCGAAATATATAAATGAACTAAAATTAAAAATCATACAAGACTAACAAAGGCCAGATGCTCCTGACTTGGGACAGGCGCAAAAATGCGGCGGTTTAACATGTTTTGTGAGATCTCAAACTTCCCCCTATACCTCTAGCCAATGTAGAAAAAACAAACAAACAGCAATCCAAAATTCCGAAATGTTTTGTCAATTAGAGTTTAGGAAATCCTAGGGTAAAACATTTTTAGTAAACAGTATTTGGTCAATTAAGCAAATTTTTATCAATTAAACTATAAATTTTACTAATTTAACATTTTACATGTAGAAGCGTTACAGCATATGGAAATGCTGCCTTTGGTCAAGGGTATGGATCTATTATGCTGGATGATTTATCCTGTAATGGGTATGAAAGTGATATATCCCAGTGCTCATCAAATGGATGGAACCACCATAATTGTAAACATAGAGAAGATGCAAGTGTTTCTTGTCGTAAGTAGACTCGAATTAAAATGTGTACTATTTGTTTGTCCAACTATAATTTTGATCATGTAATACATTCATGTGCCACTATTCCTTGAATTTGCTATAGTCATTTTATGTAGATATAAGAAGATGTGGTATGAGTGCCTATGAGACAACTCTCCCTCCAAGTCACAATTTGTAAAAGAAAAACCATTATAGGTCAAAGTACGGTCTTCAACACGGAGCCTTGGCTCACACTGAACAGTAAGCTATAAAGGGTTTCAAAAATGACTAGTGTAAAACCATTCAAACGGGAAAACTAACGGTCTGATCTATCTAACACTTATGAACCACATCAAAAAACGACAACTACTGAACATCAGGTTCCTGACTTAGGACAGGTGCAAACAAATGCAGCGGGTTTAAACGTTTTGATAGGTACCAACCTTCACCCTTACCCGTAACAATAGTGTAACATCACAACGTATATAGACACACTATAAAATATCAATTGAAATGGCTTAACTCAATCAAAAGACATATAAACACAAGTGAACATACACTGAACGAATAAATTTGATCTATGACACAATGTAAATACAAAATCAATAAAAGAAAGGGGTGAATAAATAAAGGCAACAGTAGTATACAGCTGTGAAATGTTAAATAATTACAGAAAGTAAACCATAACCATAAACAAATAACCTTGCCGCCAAGTAGAATATTGTACACAGGTAAAAGAAAATAATTTTGTTGTAAGGTATACAGTATAAATGGAGAACGGAAATATTTTTTACAAAATAAATAATTTTGTTGTTCATAGTACGAGAAACAGAAGTGAAAATTTATAGTCATACTAAACACTTAGCTGTTCAAAGCTGGTATATATTAAAAATAGAGAAATATTAAATAACAAAAAAACATTACAATTGTATCAACAGGTCAAATTAACATGAAAGTACGATTTGAGAGTACTCACAGTTACTGAAAGCTAGTTAAAAGCCAAAATCAATTAATAATAAATCATGCATCAGAGACTAAAATCAATTAAAACACATCCCAGGGATTTAGTATTTTAACGTCATGGACAGTCAAAGAAGACATGACTTGTACAATGCCAAAAATAAAAGTATCGACAGGCTGTACTTACTTAACGTGGTTTTTAAAACTCAATGATTTAAGTGAGATTGAACTTTGTTAGTCAGTTGTCGTTGTAATATTTGGGAAGACATCATCAGTGTTTATTACTTATCAAAGATGTCCCTTCACGGAATACTGAAAGCAACTATAATCGCAATTGATATTTAAAATTATGAATGGAAATGGGGAATGTGTCAAAGAGACAACAACCCGACCAAAGAGTATAAAAACAAACAGCCAATTTTGTATTTCCTTTAATTTACTTTTGGTAAATTCGTCGATCAATATTAAGTGACAGGGTTGAGATATCAAAACACAGGCATAAATTCATCAGCATTAATGTTCATAGAATGATTCGATGGTCAATATACCATGAATTATTGAATTAAAAAGACAGTGTTCGTTATAATGAATTCACTGATCCTCTCTTCATCCTGTTTTATTATTACTTTCAAAAATAAGACTGACATAAGAAGACTAGATACTAGTACTCTATTTTCATTGGCCGTAACTAATATACAGTTACTTTTTTGTGCATCAAAATATCAGCAACTCCATATAATACCAATAAAATGGAGTAAACTAGTTTTTAATGAAAAAAACCTTTTTGCATTTTTTATTTAGTTCTTACTTTATTTTTGTTAACGTTTTATCAAATGCAGGTATTTACTCCATTTAATACTGTCAAATGAAAACATATTCATACTTTGAAGTCATGTGTATCTGCAAGTCAAACATATCTTGTCAAAATGCGTACACCAATTCTTTCTCTTATTGCAGGTTACCAAAAATCAGAAGGTAGTAAGTACTCTTTGTCTAATAGACGTATTTGCACTATGCAAATTTGTGAGCTATAACCTAAAAGCGCTCAAGTTCCCGTTAAATTTGACATCACAATTTAAAAAAAGATGACTTCATAACTAAAGAGTGATTGTTTATTTACGTCAGAAGGTTTTTAGGATACATGTTTAAGGTTACAATGTATATGGAGACAAAACTCAGCTAATTATAAAAAGTGTTAATACGTTTATTGCAGTCTTGTATTTAACCAAATGAAAAGTCATCGCTCTAATTCATTCATTGAATAATTGTAAACACAACAGTTATTGTATTTACGTCATTTCGACAATGAACTCGCATGCACGTTACTACAAAATCTTTTTTCAATTGAAACTGTAACAATAGCTAGTATAATGTCTTGTCAAACAAGATTGATACATGTAATTCTTTTCTTTTTTTATGTGGTTCTAATTATGTCAATATGAAATGAGTTGCGTCTGATAGAAATCGATTTTATGCAAATGAATATCAATACATCTGTTAACAAATTTTGATTGAAAAAAAATCTCTATAGAAAGTCTGTAACTTTTTGAAAATTGGGCTGTTATAAGAAAATCTACAAAACAGACCAAAATTCATTTTTCTATTTTGTATTTGAATGTTCCAAAATCAATCAAAGTCTTATACATGTACATGTGTATGTGCACTTGCATAAGGACGATTTCTATTCGACGCAGCTCAAATGTTGAAGATTTTAGTGTTGCAATCAGTTTCAATATAACCGTTCATGTTCTTTTGCTTGATGCAGTTTTGAATTTTAGCATTAAACTATATCAACTTTGATACTTCTTTCATTACCATAACTAAAATAAAAACAAAGCATCCACACAATATTTTTTCTTAACTTTTAATGCATGTTAACGGGGTTTATCCATACATTGTGACTGACAAGCGTTAAATTCCAGATTGACCCATTGTCAAATTAAAGAATAGTTATCCTGTAATTTGAAGTATTTCAGACGAATCGATATTTAGAAGAATTAATATAATATGCATATGAGTTATAATTCACACGGGTTAACCACCATGTTCCGCATAGTTAAAAATTAATATTGAGTACCCATTGTTACTAATATAGAACTAGATGAGGATGACATGTTCAAATTAGACTAGAATAGCCCTCGCTATTTTCAAGTAATACAAGGGATTTTATTTGTATATTAAACACTTAAATTTATGAATACATTGCGGTTGGACAGATTTGATTGTACACACTATTTGTAATGACTTCTTTGTTTTAAATTGTGATATGATTTTAGGAACAGAAGTTACAACTGCTCAATACTTTGAAAGAGCTACAACTGCTGATGTACTTGGAAGATATGGTATAACAGTCTTTACTTTTTTTCATTTTAATATAAAAAATGAAAATTGTAAGAGTCACAGTTCCATTCATTATATTACACCATATAGACTATTGTGTAATCTAGAAGAGCTAAATGTTAATTAAAGAAAGACGAACAGATATTAAACTCATCAGATAAAAACTGCCGCCAATTTGTTTTTAAAGTTAAAATGACAAGACGGACACAGTCCAAGGAAACCGAATGTTGAATTCAACTGACTAAATATCGTTGTTAATCTGGTTCCGTTTTTTAGAAGATGTTGATGGTCACTTTTAAGGGTATACTAATTTGTTTGTTCATCTGATTTAATCAGGTAAGGCTGCTTCCTTAAATGCTATAACAAAGACAATATCATAGAACGTAACAGAAAGACCAATTAAAAGTTGAGAACAAACCTGTCGCAAATAGATAATACGAATTGTCATCTGGTATAGAAACTATGGGACACAAATTAAATATAACAACAATGATCACAATTTCTTCTGACATTCGAATCGAATACTAATCGCGATATAGTCTTTTGCGCCGACTCAACTTTAAGCTATAATCATTCAATCAATGAAATCTTATAACGGGCTTGGGTTTGTAACTTTGGATTCTTAGGCTTTATTCTAAAGTACATCCGTATCAAAATTAAAGCAGCCCACAAACACACACTTACATATATTTTATTGGTAATATTTAGTTGGTATTATGTCACTTATGTATTTTATCAAAACCTACATGAGTGTGTATCTTGCTTTATTGCTTTTGAAAATACTGATCTTTTTGATCAACAGGTCATTTATCATTCCGCCTAACAAACGATAGTCAAGGAATTTTACAGATTTATTATAATGGACAATGGGGCTATGTATGTCACAACTTTAATCAACATGCATACCAGTTCAACTCAGTTTGTCGCTCTGTTGGATACTCATCGTATGTAATGATTACACATTTTTTTAAAGATTTCCTATATAAATAATTTTAATCATGAATTTAATTTTAGGAATTATAACAATTTTCTAGACAATCCTGATGAAAATTAGATACATTAATATACAAGAGCAATAATTAATCAAAAGCAATCATCAGACATGTTAAACATGCAAAAGTTCTAACAATCTGTCATTTTGTCCGTCTCATGTAAAATTTCTGCGTTAAGTTACGTAAAAATTAAAATACTTCATTCTCTATTACTGTAGAGCATACAGCATATCTAGATACTATGATAGTCGACCAGCTATAGTTACAGATTTCCATTGTCCTGGTTATAACTATAACAATGGCGTAGACGATTGTACTGGGCGTAATTTCGGAGGCAACACTTACTGCAATTACAAGTTATATATTGAATGTGGTATGTTACGAAAACAAATATATCATGTACTGTTGATTCGTGGGTTTCAGGGATGTATAGTTGAATCAAAAATTGTTGCCTTAATCCAAATAGCATATTAAATGGTTTATTCAGAACAGAACAGTTCTAAAAGTGATGGAACTTTAATCTGTACTTATTACGTTGTTTTAAGCCTCTCTTTTCAGAAAAGTCGTCAACCCTCCCCTTACCTGGGACAGTGGCTTAATAGTACAGCATATGTAAAACCTATAAAAAATCAGTAGAAAAGGGCTTAACTCATCAAATCGATACAAAGCAGAAACAATCTAACAAAAAACACAGACCGGACGTGGCAGGGAACTTATATCCCCACATCAGAAAAGGCACTTACATGACGAAGTACAGATCTGAGAGTACTGGAAGTAACTGACAGCTAGTTCACAGCAGATAACAACTGATAAAAGAATCATGCATCTAAGACTAAAATATCACATGTTTGGACATAGTACAGGTTCTTGCTTTTATAAAATTATAAATTAGAATGATTACGATGATCTATTCTTTTAAAGTCATTTGTAAATTAAAGTGCATACTTATATCCCTGTTTTCACAATTGGATTAACTAAACTAAACCAAGTGTATGCTTTGGCGTTTGTCGCAAACTAAAATGCAAATAACAAGTCGGTTTCCAAGACTTTATCATATTTCGAGAGTCTGGATGTTGATAAAGTTGAAGGAAAACAAAAACAATTCTACACATATCGACATCCAGTTTAGTATGCATTTTATTTCCGTGTCGTCTCTCCTTTTATTTTAGACTCGTTAACCACTGAGGAATCAGTCACAAAGCCTTCCTATTCAGGTATGCATTTTTGTTATAAGAAAATATTTGTTTTTATTCAAGTAATGTCCTTTAAACATGTTAAAAGACGAATATATATTACTCTTGAATAGTATAATACATTGAGGTGAAAATATATACAAAACTGTAGAAATACATGGATAATATGGCATTTAAAAAGTAAAATCACAACAAAACTAAACACCGAGGAAAATTCCAAACGGAAAGTCTCTAACCAAACGCAAACGGCAAAATCAAAAGCTCAAACACATCAAACGAACGGCCAACAATAATGTATGTCAGTCGGGATCACGAGTCGGGGAAGGACAGTGACAACATCAAAAGATGAGATCGATCAATATTATTTCCTCTAAAAACTCCATTCAATGTAAAATGAAAGGTCAGAAGTTTGTGCTTTACGGGTGCAAAATGAAAAGCTTCTTATGTTAAGGCCAATGTGAAACGTATTGCCCAGTCATACGCTATGCATTATACAAAGAAGATTTATAGATATTATATAAATAAGAAGATTTGGTATGATTGGCGATGAGACAACTCTCCAAAAGAGACAAAATGACACAGAGATTAACAACTATGGGTCATCGTACGGCCTTCAAAAGTGTGCAAAAACCATACCATATAATCAGCTATAACAGGCCACGATATGACAAATGTAAAACAATTCTAACTAGAAAACCAACGGCCTAATTGATGTACAAAATAATGAACGAAAAACAAATTGATACACAGAAACAAACGACAACCACTGAATTACGGGCTCCTTAAGTTTCTTTCTATTCATAAACTATTGACACATTTGAAGTCTTTAAATTCCAGTCATGTCCAAGTGTAAAAGTTTAAGCTGAAAGAGATTTAAAAAGATAAATGCTAAAACAAGACTGTTCAATAATAAAAAAAAAACCAACACAAACCTTGAAAACATGCCTTAAATAGAGCACTAAAATCTATAGAAACATTATAAATGGTTTCATAATTTTCGTAAAAAAATAAATTTATAATAAAAACATGCATTTGCAAGCGTTGTTCAATGTTGTTAAATTTTGTTTTCAGGAGAAACTAGTGTTTCATATACAAGTAAGTTTTTACTATCCAATGGTAATTTAGCGTTCAGAAAGCGTCTTAAAATTTTTTTTAACCGTGTTACAATAAATGCTTAAATGTTGATGAGGTGCATTATGCTAAACTCATTAGAATAATTATTTCTTATTTGTTTTACTTAAGCTTAGTGATTTTATAATCAAACAAACACAAGAAAATAAATCTTCTTTTTTATTCTCTTAATTTAGTATTTAGAAAAAAAGTTCATGCATTATATAACAATTATAATGATTTTTCAGATGTTAGGCTAGTTGGTGGTAATTATAATTGGGAAGGACGTGTTGAGATATATCATAATGGAGCCTGGGGAACTATTTGTGATGACGACTTTGACACACACGACGCTAAAGTTATATGTGCAATGTTGGGATACAACAGATATGGGTAATTCAGTCCAGCTTCTCATAAAAGCTTAAATTATGATAACTTCAATAGAAAACTGAGGTTCCAATTCTATTTAATACAGTCGGGTATGACTTATTAGTTGGAACTCTTTTTTTTTGGTATGATGTTCTAAATACGATTTAAAATCATTTTGCAGACAATATTTAATCTCAAAGATCTGTTTTTTGTGCATGTTATAACATGTACGAGGTACTTTTGTACATGTTAATACTTGTATTTTTGCATTGTACAAGTTATAACATACACAATATTTATATATATATATATGTTACAATATGTACAAAATTGCAACTTGTACACGACATTTACATATCAAGGAAATAATATATTTCCGTACTGGAATTTAAAAAAAAACAACCCCAAATATATTTATTTTAAACATTCCCATCACGATGGATTCATAATTATTTGTTGGATGGATTTATTTTCGTGGTCGTAAGTAAACCCCAAAATGCAAGTTTTTATCTGCATGGATGTAAACAGATAACAAAACAACGAAATCGAATTTAATCCAAACATCAATGTGTGTTAAACCCCGAAAATTGATAACGATAAAAAAAATATAATGCATCCCCATTAAAATAACTTAACACTTAAAGTGATGATTTGCGCTAGATAGTTATATCAATGGTTGTACAGTACAACATGGCAATTCAGGACCCCATTAAAAGGATTGGAATCGTATGCCTCGGTACATAGAAAGTGCATTCTAATGAAAAGTCATCCGTCATAATGCCTATACATTGTAACATATTATATAAGGGTTTTGTTCTAATTGGTGATGTCAATGACGGATTTGCTCAGGTCGTTAAGGAATTTACTTTTATTTATATCGGAGCCTTTTTAACTGACTATACGGTATGAGTTTTGCTAATGTTTGATGGTCGAACGGTGACCTTCAGTTGCTTACATCTTCGTCATTTGTTCTCTGGTAAAAAGTAATCTCATTTGCTATCATACTACATCTTCATATTTTTATATGTATGGCTATAACAAGTCATTTAATGTCTGTCCATGATATCTGAAATGTTTATTACTCACAATATTTAAACAATAACTGTTTTAAAGGACGTTTAATTTTGATTTTATACTACTTGTTAGGTTTCTAAGAACAAGGTGATAATAAAAAGAAAATATACTTCGCAACATTCTCCTCATATAGAAATTAAAGACGAGTTTATTCCTGAATGGCTGTATTTATTTAGGAACATCAACTGATAATGTTTTATTTGTTCGTTGAGTTATTTTGTTTACGCTTGTGCAAAAAAAAAGATAAACACAAGTAGTTTACTGATGTAAAAATCTTAGCATTGGTCATTGCGTATTGCCTTTGTAATTTCGTGATGTTCTGAATTGAGTAGCAATATTCAATCAAATTACCACCAATTAGAAATATCAGAATATTTTACATTAAAATTAGAAGCGTGACAGCATATGGAAATGCTGCATTTGGTGAAGGGTATGGATCAATTATGTTGGATAACTTAAACTGCAATGGGTATGAAAGCGACATATCGCAGTGTTCATCAAATGGATGGAACAGACATAATTGTGGTCATGGTGAAGATGCAAGTGTTTCTTGTCGTAAGTACATTTAAATAAGACATGCACCTTTTGCTTGTCAACTGATTGATCATTTTCAACCTTGTCAAAGATTCATGTGTCACTTGTCGGTGAACTTGTTAGTCGTTCTCTTCTGTAATTTCTCAACTTGTTTTTTAAGCCTTTTACACTATTGGTTTTGAGACATTTTTATAGACAAATATTATCAGCAATGCAAAATCTTCAAACAAGTTGAAATGATCAAAATCATCAGTCGACACCATTTTGAAATTATAGTCCATTAATGACGATTTTTCTCAAATTTTGCGTTTTTGACTGTTATCTTGAAAACTATAATAGATAGATAGAAACCTATAATAGCATAATTATCAGCATGACAAGATCTACAAATAAGTTAAATGACCCAAATCTTAAGTCGACTCGTGATTGGAGTTCTTGCCTTTTAATGATAATTCACCATTTTCTTGGCATTTTTTTTCTATCATCTTGAAAACTAATATAGATAAATAAAAACTTTAAAGGGGAAAGTGATCAGCATGATGAAATCTACAAATACATCAACATGAATCAAATTTTCAGTTAATTTTTCATAGAATTATTCTCCTTTAATGATATGTTTTACTAAAAAGTGGCCTTTGTTGAAGATGTTGGTGAGCGACACAGGCTCTCTAGATTCTCTTGTTAGTTCATGCCATTCCCTCCTTTTTTATTTGTTGCTTTGATTTGTGTCTTCTTTGTCAATTTGCGAGATTTGAATATAGTTAACTACTGCCGTAATTGTTGATATGTGGATGGCGTAACAAAATCAATTGACCTTTGTTGCCCAGTTGTAGATGGAAAATTTCGAAAGACATCATCGGTGTATATTGTATATCAGAGATGTCCCTTCAAAGACTAATGTAGAAGTTTTCAACAACTTGGACCATTTAAATAGAGGCTAATTTTTTATTTAATTGACCTGTACCATTTAAGGACATAAGCTTAATGCGGAAGACCTTCAAAAGATTTTCAAACAAATGACAAGACAAAAAACAACAATACAATCTATTGACTTTTTGTTTCATTTTCATCTATCAGATACATTAAAAAATCAGTAGATCCTTTTTTTTATATCTAAAATGAATAAAAGTGACTGTTTATTTTTTGCTTTTTTGTCTGCTGATTTGTATATTTGTTTTGACATGCCATCGTTTAATTTTGTTTTGGTGATATCATATCCTGCATGTTATTAAACCTTCAAAACCGTATTGCAAGGAATACGGAAAGCAAGTAATATCTCATTTGACATTTGTATTTCCTTTCATCAACATTCTGTAAGTCCAGTGATCAAGATTAAAAGGAACGGGATTGAGATCTCATACTCAAATTTAACTGCATTTGTATTAATGTACATATACAAAGTAAAAACCTCGTTAGTGCAAATTTTTTATCATATCGTCATGCGTAAATAATAGTCTGAGGGATTGTTAGTTTTGCAGGCAGGTCTTTCATTTAATTGTTCAATTTATTTACTTGTTTTCTAGACTAGGGGCTATTTCAAGCTAAATATCTCCTATATATACATTCTTTTTTGAAGATTGCATGCTTACCTGTTGCTTTTTTGTATCGATTTAAGCTGTCTTAATGACGCTTACACATTGTTTGATTTATATTTGATATAATCCAGATTTGATTGCCAATATACAGAGAATTATTGTTCGTAGTAATGAATTCACCGATACTCTACTCATCCGGTTTATATTTTTTCTTTAAAAAGATGATTGACATTAAAAGGACTAGAGAAATCTTCCATCATTTGACTGCTGTACCCCAATTTTAGACATTTTTACCTAGTATGTCTGTTTGTTTTGCTCACACATTGTTGTCAATATAATGGAATTTTATGTAATTGTCATACAATTGAGAGGAAATGCCTTTAACAAGTCAGGAACATTACATTTGTTTTACATTCGTGTGATGTGTTTGAGCTTTTGATTTTGCCATTTGTTAAGGGACTTTCTGTTTTCAATTTTCCATGAAGTTCGGTATTTTTGTTATTTTACTCTTCATTGATCGTGCTATTTACAATTATTGCTCTTGTATATCAATGTCTCTGCAACTTCAATATAAATCGCATCAAAGATTAAATATAAAGGTGAAAATAAACTCATTACAGACACCAGTATTTTGTACGCTCGACAGGCGTTCCGTCTATTAACCAGTTCTTAAAGAAAAAACAACTTTTTGCATGTGTATATTTAGGTCATTCTTAACTATTTTTCAACGTTTTTCAAATTGTTGAAGTTATTTTATTTAAAACTGTCCAATGAAACAATAGGCATACTTTGATTTCATTTGTAACTAAAATAACACATATCTTGTAAAAATGCGTACAACAATTCTTTGTTTAATTGCAGGATATCCTAAATCAGGTGGTAGTAAGTATATTACATCTTATGGACGTATTTAAACTTGTATGCCAATTTACCGATATTACTAAGAATCACTCTAGTTCCCGTACAATTAAACATCACAATTTTAAAAAGTTGACGTCATAATTAAACTGTGATTGTAGCGTGACGTCAGAGGGTTATTCGGAGACAGATCTAAGGTCATTAGGAGACAAAATTAAGCTAAATATCAAAAGTGTAAATACGTTTATTGCAGTCCAGTAGTGAGCAAATGAAAATTTATCGCTCTCGTTCAATCATTAAATATTGTAATCACAACACTCATAGTATTAACGTCATGTCAACAATTATTGCGCGTGCACGTTACTACAAAATATTTTTGAATGAAAACTGTTTCTATAAAATCCGCTAGTTTAATGTTTTATATAACAAGGTTGTTACATGTAAATCTTTTCTTGTTTTTTATGGGGTTCTAGTTTTTCAAAATTTTTTTGGAGGGTCTGGATTGGGGTTTTTTCAATTCTGTATTCTTTATTTTTTAGCCATTCTTCTGAATTCTATATACATTTTGCCCATTATTCTCTATTCGTTATATTTTAGCACCCAATTTTTCTCTATTCATTATTTTTTGGCCTATTTTTCTCAATTCCATTTGTGTACTTTTGCTTGATACAGTCTTAAATTTTAACATTAAACTATGTCAACTTTGATAATTTTTTATCACCATAACTAAAATTTAAATAAAGCATTAACACAATAATTTTGCTTAACTTATAATGCTTGTTAACGGGTTTTATCCATAACATAGAAAAGCGTTAGATTCCAGATGAATCCATTGTCAAAATAAAGAACATTTCTTCTTTAATTTGAAATATTTGAAACGAATGAGTTTTTGTAGGACTGGTTTAATGTTTAACAGAATTTACATAACATGGATATGAGCTAGAATCTCAAAGGGATTATCATGTACACCACCATGTACATAAAAAGGGCCCATTGAGCAGATCAACTTGAGTTTTATTTTACATGTATTTTATAAAATTTTTGTACCCATTGAAACTAAATATAAAATTGAATGATAGGTTCAAACAACTCATTTGCTTAATTTAGACAAGATTTCGAAGATCAATTTCGCCCTCGTCAATTTATACTAATGCAAGGGATCTATTTTGTATATTAAACACTCATGTATAGAAACTTTTATGTTGAACTGATTTGATTTGATTTTACAAACTATTTTGATTACCTCCTTTTTTTAAGTTGTGTTATAATTTTAGGAACAGAAGTTACAACTGTTCAATACTTTAACAGAGCTACAACTGCTGACGTACTTGGCAGTCATGGTATAAAAGTTTTTACTTTTTATTTTACATTTTATGATAAGTATGTAGATTGTAAGTCACAGTTCCAACCATTATGTTACACCATAAATACTATTGTATGATCTAGAACAGCAAAATGTTTATTAAAAAGGATGTTTTACTCATCAGATAAAAAAAAACTGGCGCCAATTTTCTTTTTAAGAAAAAATTACAAGACGGACAACAGTTCAAGGAAACCAAGTATTGAGATCAACAGACTAAAAACGTATATACTATACTGTTGTTAATCAGTTTCCGTTTTTGAAACGATATTGATGGGCACTTTTAACGGTACACTAATTTGTTTGTAAATGTGATTTAATCAGGTATAGCTGCCTTTTTAATTGATATTGCAATGGCAATTTCAGAGAACGTAACAGAGAGATAACGTCGTAACTTAGTATTAATCAATAAAAAGTTGAGAACAAACCTGTCGCATATTGATGATACATATGGGCATCTGGTACAGAAACTATAGGACACTAATTTCATATTAGATAAATTAATATTAATCAACAATGATCACAATTTCTTCTGACATTCGTATTTAATGCTCATAGCGATATAGCCTTTTGCGCTGATGCGAGGTTAAACATTAATCATTCGATCAATTAAACCTAATAACAGGTTTGGGTTTTTAATGTTTAATTTTTATGCTTTATTTTAGAGTACATCCGTATCAAAATTATAGCCGCCTATAGGCACATATTTACATATATTTCATTGGTAATATTTTGTTGTTGTTGAGTCACTTATATTTTGTTATAAAAACTGCATGATTGTGGATTATACTTTAACGTCTTTGAATAAAATATTGCTTTTTTTGATCAACAGGTCATTTATCATTCCGCCTAACAAACGATAGTCAAGGATTTCTACAGATTTACTATAATGGACAATGGGGTTATGTATGTCACAATTATGATCAACATGCATACCAGTTCAACTCAGTTTGTCGCTCTTTTGGATACTCATCGTATGTAAATATACTGTTTGAATGATTTACTAAGCAATGTTAATTATTAATCCAATTTTAGGAATTATTACGATTTTCCAGACAATCCTGATGAAAATTAGATACGTTGATATGCAAGAGCAAAAATTAATCAATAGCAATTATCAAATATGTGAAGCATGCAGAATTTCTAAATATGTGTCATTAGGTCTTTCCGTTTTTCTGTGGAAAGACCTATTGTCTTTTTCAGATTATTAGGTCTTTCCACTTTTCTGTGGAAAGACCTATTGTATTTGTTCTGATTATTAGGTCTTTCCACTTTTCTGTGGAAAGACCAATTGTATTTGTTCTGATTATTATTATTAGGTCTTTCCACTTTTTAAACCGGAAGTAACAAATTATTTCCCTTATTTATAAAATATTGTATAGAAACCATATATTTTTGGAATCAGCGTACTATAAGCTATCATTTGACGCTGTTAATGACATTTTAAACTGAATTTTTACTATTTTCATATCAAAATACTTGTTTTTTTGTGGAAAGACCTTCAATTGTTCTTTGAACAATTAGTTTTTAATTATTATTATTTTTTTCTTCTTCCGCCACTTTTTTCTGACGGTGCTTTTTTGTTTCGCAAGATGTTGCTTAGCTTTTTGAATATGATATCGAACAGTTATTACGATTTTGAAACTGACCCTGTTAAGCCGAACATTTTATTGTAAGAGTTATCTCCCCAAACACTGTTTTTCTTGTTTACAAATCTCCTTCGCAACCGTTAAAGATTACGACAAAATTATTTCACCAATTTGCTCGTCATATCCTCAGGATTTTGAAAATAATTTTGACCGAAGCGGTCCGGAAACTCCATATGAGAGTTATTTCCCCTTCTGTATTTAGAATGAGTAAAATGTAATTGTAATTGATAAACCATAAATGATAGAGACCTAGGGTCTTTTGATATGAGGTCCTTGGTCCAAAAAAATTAGAAAATAGGGTCAAGGTCAAAGGTCAGGGTCATTTCTAAATTTGGTTTTTGGCTAATTTTTACCTCTTTTCAAACACAATATAAGATATCGACAACATATTTTTACTTAATTGTTATTTGCGACATGTCGTAACACATACATTTTGGTTTAAAGGGTAAGCTAACATCATATTAGAGTTTTCTCCCCTCTTTATTTAAAAATATGCATATATGAAATATTCTGTGAAATATGGTGATATAACTCATGAACCAAATATAATTGAGACCTAGGGTCTTTTGATTTGAGGTCATTGGCTGATGACCTTGAAATTGAGCTCAAGGTCATAGGTTAAATTGACGTTCTAGATTTTGACCTTTGCTTTTACCTCATATGTATACATGATAAATCCATGGGACTTTTTGCATTACGTTTCAAGCCATTTAACCTTAGAAAAGCCAACCGGAAGTGACCTAGTGTAATCCGGAAGTAGCTTTTTTTGTACTTAATTAATGTAAAAGTTTATAGAACCAGATATTTTTGGTATCATTGTCAATTAAACATTTGAATAATACCGGAAGTAACCTTTTTTTAAACCGAAAGTAACAAATTATCTCTCTTATTTAAAAAATATTGTATAGAAACCATATATTTTTGAAAACAGCGTACAAAGCCGTCATTTGACGCTGGAAATGACATTTTAAACCGGATTTTACTATTTTCATATTAAAATACATGTTTTTTGGTGGAAAGAACTTATTAGGTCTTTCCACTTTTCTGTGGAAACACCTATTGCTTTTCTTCTTCTGATTATTATTATTATTATTTTTTTTTTCTTCTTCCGCCACTTTTTTCTGACGGTGCTTTTTTTTTTCGCAAGATGTCGCTTAGATTTTTTGCATATGATATCGAACAGTTATTACGATTTTGAAACTGACCCTGTTAAGCCGAAAACTTTTTATTGTAAGAGTTATCTCCCCAAACACAGTTTTTCTTGTGTACGCATCTCCTTCGCAACCGTTAAAGATAACAACAAAATTATTTCACCAATTTGCTCGTTATATCCTCAGGATCTTAAAAATAATTTTGAGCAAAGCGGTCCGGAAACTCCATATGAGAGTTATTTCCCCTTCTGTATTTAGAATGAGTAAAATGTAATTGTAATTGGTAAACCATAAGTTAAAGGGACCTAGGGTCTTTTGATTTGAGGTCCTTGGTCCAAGAAAATAGGGTCAAGGTCAAAGGTCAAGGTCATTTTTAAATTTGGATTTTGGTTTATTTTCACCTCTTTTCAAACACAATATAAGATATCGACAACATATTTTTACTTAATTGTTAGTTGCGACATGTCATAACACATACATTTTGGTTTAAATGGTATGCTTACATCAAATTAGAGTTTTCTCCCCTCTTTTATTTAAAAATATGCATATGGTGATATAACTCATGAACCAAATATAATTAAGATCTAGGGTATTTTGATTTGAGGTCCTAGTTTGATGACCTTGAAATTGAGCTCAAGGTCATTGGTTAAATTGACGTTCTAGATTTTGACCTTTGCTGTTACCTCATATGTATACATGATAAAGCCATGGGACTTTTTGCATTAGGTTACAAGCCATTTAACCTTAGAAAAGCCAACCAGAAGTGACCTTGTGTAAACCGGAAGTAGCCTTTTTTTGTACTTAATTAATATAAAAGTGTATAGAACCAGATATTTTTGGTATCGGTGTCAATTTAACGTTTGAATAATACCGGAAGTAACATTTTTCAAACCGGAAGTAACAAATTATCTCCTTTATTTAAAAAATATTGTAATGAAACCATATATTTTTGGAATCAGCGTATTATAAGCTATTATTTGACGCTGGAAATGACATTTTCAACCGAATTTTACTATTTTCATATTAAAATACCTGGTTTTTTGTGGAAAGACCTTCAATTGTTCTTTGAACAATTGGTTTTTAATTATTAGGTCTTTCCACTTTTCTGTGGAAAGACCTATTCGTTTTTTTCTGATTATTTTTATTCTTTTTTTCTTCCGCCACATTTTGTTCTTGCGATAAATTTTGTTTTTTGCAAGATGTCGCTTAGATGTTTCGTATATGATATCGAACAATTTATGCGCCTTTGAAATTGACCCTGCTTAAGCGAATACTTTTCTTTGTAGGAGTTATCTCCCCGAACATTGTTTTCCATGTGCGTTTATCTCCTCCGTAACCGTAAAAGAAAGCGACAAATTTATTTTACCAAATTGCTCGTTATATCCTCAGGATGTTTTGTCCAATTTTAATCGAAGCGATACGTAAACTCCATATGAGAGTTATTTCCCCTTCTGTATTTGACATAAGGTATATATAAATGTATAGCATGAATGTTAAGTGATAGAGACCGAAGGTATATTGATTTGAGTTCCTTGGTTTATTTAAATGAAATTGAGGCCAAGGTCAAAGGTCAAGGTCATATTCTAAATTTCGACCTTTCCTTGTTAGTTGATCTCCTCTGTCACTTTTAAAATTACAAATTAAAGAACTATGGCAAAATGTTTGCTTAATTGTGATTAAGATATGATACATTTGGTCTGAAACAATCCAATGATATCTCATAGGAGTTATTGTCCCTGAAATGATTCAATTTAAGGTTATTTGGTTATTACTCCAATTTGGTACATGATAAAGCCATAGGGTCTTTTGTAAACTGTTGGTTGACATATGACCTTGGAAAAAAGTAAACCGGAAGTGACCTTGAGTGAACTGGAAGTAGTATTTTTTGCACTTATTTCATGGAAAAGTACCTAGAAACCATATATTTTTTGAATGACCATAGGTTAACATATCATTTGAGACCGGAAGTGACATTTTATATACCGGAATTAGCATATTATCTTCCTTATTACAGGCATAAGAATATACAAACTATATATTTTTGGAATCAGTGTGAATAAAGCTATCATATGATATTTTCTAAACCGGAAGTTGGCAATTATCTCCCTTATTTCAGGCAAAAGTATATAGAAACCATTTTTTTATTGAATCAGTATGAAGAAATCTATACTTTGACGCTATTAATAACTTTGAGTAAACCAGAAGTAGCTTCCTATCAATTATTTAGAAAATTAATGTGGAAAGACCTTCAATTGTTCTTTGAACAATTAGTTTTTAATTATTATTATTTTTTTCTTCTTCCGCCACTTTTTTCTGACGGTGCTTTTTTGTTTCGCAAGATGTCGCTTAGATTTTTTGCATATGATATCGAACAGTTATTACGATTTTGAAACTGACCCTGTTAAGCCGAAAACTTTTTATTGTAAGAGTTATCTCCCCAAACACTGTTTTTCTTGTGTACAAATCTCCTTCGCAACCGTTAAAGATAACGACAAAATTATTTCATCAATTTGCTTGCTATTATTTCAGGATCTTGAAAATAATTTTGACCGAAGCGGTCCGGAAACTCCAGATGAGAGTTTTTTCCCCTTCTGTATTTAGAATAAGTAAAATGTAATTATAATTAGTAAACTATAAGTGATAGAGACCTAGGGTCCTATGATTTTAGGTCGATGGTCCAAAAAAAAAAAAAAAAATAGGGTCAAGGTCAAAGGTCAAGGTCATTTTTCAATTTGGATTTTGGCTTATTTTTACCTCTTTTCAAACACAATATAAGATATCGACAACATATTTTTACTTAATTGTTAGTTGCGACATGTCGTAACACATACATATTGGTTTAAAGAGTGCGCTTACATCAAATTAGAGTTTTCTCCCCTCTTTATTTAAAAATATGCATATGGTGATAGAACTCATGAACCAAATATAATTAAGATCTAGGGTCTTTTGATTTGAGGTCCTTGGTTGATGACCTTGAAATTGAGCCCAAGGTCATAGGTTAAATTGACGTTCTAGATTTTGACCTTTTTTTTTTTACCTCATATGTATACATGATAAAGCCATGGGACTTTTTGCATTAGGTTTCAAGCCATTTAACTTTAGAAAAGCCAACCAGAAGTGACCTTGTGTAATCCGGAAGTAGCTTTTTTTTGTACTTAATTAATATAAAAGTTTAAAGAACCAGATATTTTTGGTTTCAGTGTCAATAAAACGTTTGAATAAAACTGGAAGTAACTTTTTTCAAACCGGAAGTAACAAAATATCTCCCTATTTAAAAAATATTGTATAGAAACCATATATTTTTTGGAATCAGCGTACAATAAGCTATCATTTGACGCTGGAAATGATATTTTAAACCGAATTTTACTATTTTCATATTAAAAGACATGGTTTTTTTTGTTGAAAGATCTTCAATTGTTCAAAAATTGGTTTTTAATTCTACTTGTATTTTTTTCGGTCTCATGTGAGATTTCTGCGTCAAGTTTCGTCAAAACTAAAATACTTCATCCTTCATTATTGTAGAGCATACAGCATATCCAAATACTATGAGAGTCGACCAGCTATAATTACAGATTTTCATTGTCCTGGTTATTACTATAGCAACGGCGTAGACGATTGTACTGGACGCAACTTCGGACGCAACACTTACTGCAGTTTCAAGTTATATATCGAATGTGGTATGTTAAGAAAAACAAATATATTATGTACTGTTGTTTCATGGGTTTCAGGGATGTATAGGTGTATCAAAAATTGACATTGTAATGCAATGATGTGCCTATAACTCAAATTGCATGATTTCCATTAGCAATGATTACTGAATGTGGATTGGCGTTAAGGATAATACATGCATAGCAGGATACACTTACCCCAACGACGTATGCGGTTATGTCCCCTTTAAAATTGATATGTTATTGCCACTTAAATTTTCGTTTTATTGATATGAAAGTTATAAGGGGTCTCCGATTTCTTTTTTCTGTATTAATCATTCAAGTGTCTCTGTTATATCTAAAAATAACATTTCTAGCTACGATATCACAATTATGTTTGCCTTTTCGGCGCTTTTTTCACGCTGTCCAGAAGATTCAAATATACATACTAAAAAAACGAATTCGATGATCCCCTATAAGTTTTATATCAATAAAACGGAAATTACAGTAGTAATAATATATCATTTTTAAAGAAAATTCGTAGGATAGGATTTCGAGAAAAGTTAATTCTAGGTTAAATTTGCTGAATTTTTTAAAGATATTTACGTGTAATCTAAGCATACTACTATTTTTCGGGATATTTTATTTGCTATATCTCAGAAAGTATAAAATTTATATGCATATTTTTTTCGATGTTCATGTGCAGTTCCGCATGCTCTAGTTGTATGGAAGATTTTTTAAATTCCGCGAGATCATGCATTTACGTACCTGTTACCTTAAGCCTGTAAGTTTACCCTAAAGTCGAACTACATAATCGACAGTTGCTGATTACAAACCATATCATATTAAACATGTTTGGACCTAGCACAGGTTCTCGCTTTGATGCAACATATAAATCAAAATGAATACGATGATCTATTCTTTTAAAATTAATGTTTTGTATCAAAATTCATATGTATATCCCTGTTATCACAATTGAATTGAATAAAACAAATCAAGCGTATGCTTTGACGTTTGATGCAAACTTGAATGCAACCATAAGTTATTAATCATATTTTGTTTCCAAGACTTAAGCACATTTCGAGTGTCCTGTTCCTGATAAAGTTGAAGGAAAAACAAATCTAAACATACCGACATCCAGTATTGTATGCATTTTATTTCCGTGTCTTCTCTCCTTTCTAGTGAGAGGTTAAGCTAGCTTTAAAACCAGGTTTAATCCACCATTTTCAACATATTAAGTTAGGAATATGACAGTTGTTTTCCATTCGTTTGATGTGTTTGAGCTTTTGATTTTGCAATTTGATAAAGGACTTTCCGTTTTGAATTTTTGTTGGAGTTCGGTATTTTTGTTATTTTACTTTTTTCTATTTCAGACTCGTTAACCACCGAGGAAACAGTCACAAAGCCTCTTCATTCAGGTATGTATTTCGTTATATGTTAACATTTGTTTCTTTCATCGTTATTTCAAGATTTTTAATTGTCCTTTAAAAGAAGGAGATATATTATTCTTGAACAACATAATATATATAGTTGAATATTTATGCAAAACTGTGTTAATAAATTGTTAATATGACATCCAAAGTATGTCAGTCGGGTTCACGAGTCGGAGAAGGACAGTCGCAACATCAAAAGATTAAATCGGTCAATATAATCTCCTCTTAAAACTCGATTCAATGTAACATGAAGGGTAGGCAGTTTGTGCTTTACGGGTGCCATTTGAAAAGCTACTTATGTTAAGGCTTCAGTGGAATGTGATACCCAGTCATAAGCTAGGCATTATACAAAACAGATTTATAGATATTGTACGTACTTGTTTTACCCTTAAGTGTCACTCTATGCATAAACAATTGGCACATTTAAAGTCTTTAAATGCAAATTATGACCAATTGTAAAAGGTTAAGCCGAACCAGAATGAACAGACAAATGATAAAACAAGACTGTTCAAAAAAAAAAAAAAAAACCAACCCAACAACAAACATTGACAAAATGCCCCAAATAGAGCACTCAAATCTATATAAACGTTGTCATATTTTCGTAAGCAAAAATTGAATTTATAAATTTATAACAAATACATGTATTTACAAGCGTTATTATATTTTCAGGAGAAACTGGTGTTTCATATACGAGTAAGTTTTTACTTAAATATTCCAGTTAAATCTAGAGTTTAGGAAGTGTCTTAAAAATCCATGTAAGCGTGTTCAACAACAGTTGCTTTAATATAACAATTTCATTATGCTTGAAAAAAACCCTCCTTAAAATAGTTATTTTTGCTTTGTCTTTACTTGAGCCAAGTGATTTCATATTCAAATATACACAAAAAAAAAGAAATTATCTTTTTCTTCCATTGTACAATAGTTTATTTCGTATTAAAAAAGAAGATATCATACATTATATTACTATTATATTGATTTTGCAGATGTGAGGCTAGTTGGTGGTAATTATTATTGGGAAGGACGTGTTGAGATATATCATAATGGAGTCTGGGGAACTATTTGTGATGACGACTTTGACACAAACGAAGCTAAAGTAATATGTGCAATGTTGGGGTACAACAGATATGGGTAATTCAGTCCAGCTTCTCATAAAATTTAAATTAATGAAATTTCAATAAAAAACTTAGGTTCAGACTCCATCAAACACAGTCGGATATGACTGATTTGTTGTAACCTTTTTGTGGTATGATGTTCTAAATACGATTTTAAATCATTTTGTAGATAATATTTGATCTCATAGTTCTGATGGTAGTTGAATTGGAAATAATAAAACAGCCAACTTTGTATGAGGGAGTTGAAACCTCTAATTTGGCAGTAAAAAGTAAAATCACAAAAATACCGAACTCCGAGGAAAATTCAAAAAGGAAAGTCCCTAATCAAATGGCAAAATTAAAAGCTCAAACACATCAAACGAATGGATAACAACTGTCATATTCCTGACATGGTACAGGCATTTTCTTATGTAGAAAATGGTTGATTGAACCTGGTTTTATAGCTAGCTAAACCTCTCACTTGTATGACAGTCGCATCAAATTCCATTATATTGACAACGATGCGTGAAAAAAACAGACACAATAGGTAAAAATGTAAAAAATAGGGATACAGCAGTCAACATTGTGTTATCATCGTAATCACTATAAAAACAAACAAACGTAACAAAGAAGCACAAAAAGGCATACATCAAATTTAACATCCTCGTTTTGCTTTTTTATTATACGATTTTATTTATCTATGTAAAATCCACCCATAAAGGATGGAAGGTTTTCAGTACTGGCGTAGAATCGCGCGTTTGACGTCACACAGGTAGATATAAAATAATTTTGTCGTTCAAATTATGACGGGATACATAAGTACAGAGTCACGTCAAATGGATACCCTTAATGCCATTTTAATGCGTTTACAAAATTAATTAAGTTCTATATTTACAGTTAGGCAATAATTATAAACGATTCTTTGAAACATTACAACAGATTAAAATAATAAGGAGATGTGATATGGTTTCCAATGAAACAAGTTTCCAACAAAGACGGTAGGACATATATATGTATATATATTTTAAGGAAATCATATATTTCCGTACTGGAATGAAATAATTATTTGTGTGATGGTATTTTTTTCATGGTCGTAGGTAAACCACAAAATGCAAGTTTTCATCTGCATGGATGGGAACAGATAACAAAACAACGAACACAAATCTAATCCAAACATCAACGTTTGTTCAACCACGAAAATTGATTACGATAAAAAAAATAATGCATTCTCATGAAAATAACGTAACACACTTAAATTGATAATTTACGCTAGAAAGTTATATTCACGGTTGTAGAGTACAACACTGGCACTTCATGAACCCCATTAAAAGGCATGGATTGAAGTCGTTTGACTCGTTACAAAAAACAGTACATTCTAAACAAAAGTCATCCGTCATATTGCTTATACATTGTAACATATTATATGAGGGATTTTTTTCTAAATAGCGATGTCAATGACGGCTTTGCTCAAGTCGTTGTTTTTTTACTTTGATTTATATCGGAGCCTTTTTATACTGAGTTTTGCTAATGTTTGAAGGTCAAATGGTGAACTTCAGTTGCTTACATCTTCATCATTTGTTCTCTGATGAAAAGTTGTCTCATTTGCTATCATATCACATCTTCCTATTTTTATATGTATAGCTATAACAGGTCATTCAAAGTTTGTCCATGATATTTGAAATATTTATTACTCATAGTATTTAAACAATAGCTGTTTTAAAGGACGTTTAATATTGATTTAAACTACTTGTTAGGTGTCTGTAAACAAGGTGATAATAAAAAGGACATACACTTCGCACATTCTCCTCATATAGAAATTAAAGACAAGTTCGATGAGTAAAGGTTTTGACGCTAGTGAAAGAAAAGATAAACACAAGTAGTTTACTGATGTAAAAGTCCTAGGACTGGTCATGGCGTATTGCCTTTGTAATTTCCTGATGTTCTGAATTGAGTAGCAATATTCAATCAAATCACCACTAATTATAATTATCAGAATATGTTACATTAAAATTAAAATCATTTTAGAAGCGTAACAGCATATGGAAATGCTGCGTTTGGTGAAGGGTATGGATCAATTATGTTGGATGACTTAAATTGCAATGGATATGAAAAAGACATATCTCAGTGTTCATCAAATGGATGGAACAGACATAATTGTGGTCATGGTGAAGACGCTAGTGTTTCTTGTCGTAAGTACATTTGAATTAGACGTGTACCTTTAGCTTGTCCACTGATTGATATCTTAAACTATATTTTCAACCTTGTCAAAGATTCATGTGTCACTAGTCAGTGAACTTATTAGTCGTTCTGTTCTGTAATTTCTTACCTTGTTTTTTAAGCCTTTTACAATATTGGTAATGAGACATTTTTATAGACAATTATTATCAGCAATGCAAAATCTTCAGATGAGTTGAAATGATAAAAATCGTCAGTCGACACCTTAATGATGTTATTATCCGTTAATGACGATTTTTTCTCAATTTTTGCGTTTTTGACTATTATCTTGAAAACTATAATAGATAGATAGAAACCTTAAATAACAAAAAATATCAGCATGGCAAGATCTACAAAGAAGTTAAATGGTCGATATCTTAAGTCGACTCGTGATTTGAGTTATTGCCTTTAAACGATAATTCACCATTTTCTTGGCATTTTTTTCTAATATCTTGAAAACTATTATAGATAGATAAAAATTTTTATGGGGAAAATGATCAGCATGATTTACAAATACATCAACTTGAAATTGTCAGTTATTCTTTAATAGAATTATTCCCCTTTAATGATGTGTTTACTAAAAAGTGGCCATTGATGAAGATGCAGGTGAGCGACACAGGCTCTCTAAATTCTCTTGTAAGTTCATGCCATTCCCTCCTTTTTTATTTGCTGCTTTGAATTGGCTCTACTTTGTCAATTTGCGAGATTTGAACATAGTTAACTACTGCCGTAATTGATGGTCTGTCGATGGCTTAACACAATCAATTGACCTTTGGTGCCCAGTTGTAATGGAAAATTTGGAAAGACATCATCGGTGTATATTGTAAATCAGAGATGTCCCTTCAAAGACTAATGTAGAAGTTTTCAACAACTTAGACTATTTAAATAGAAGCTAATTTTCGATTTTATTGACCTGTAAGTTTTAAGGACATAAGCTTAATGCGGAAGACCTTCAAAAGAATTTCAAACAAATGACAAGACGAAAAACAACAATGAAAGCCGTGGATTTTATGTTTCATCTTTATCTTTCGAATATTTTAAAAAATCAATAGATCCTTTTTTTAATATCTAGATTGAATTGAAGTGACTTTGTTTTTGCTTTTTTTGTCTGCTGATTTGTATATTTGTTTTGACATGATTCCATGCCATCGTTTGATTTTGTTTTGATATTATCATATACTGCATGTTATTAAACGTTCAAAACCATATTGCAAGTGGATACGGAAAGCAAGTAATATCTCATTTGACATTTGTATACAAAGTCAAAAAACTCGTTAGTGCATATCTCTTTTATCATATCTTCATGCGTAAATATTAGTTTGAGGGATTGTTAGTTGCAGGCAGGTCTTTCATGTAATTGTTCAATTTATTTACTACTTTTCTAGACTCGGGGCTATTTCAAGCTTAATATCTCCTATATATACAATCTTTTTTGAAGATTGCATGCTTACCTGTTGCTTTTTGTATCGACTGAAGCTGTATTAATGACGCTTACACATTGTTTGATTTAAATTTGATATGATCCCGATTTGATTGGCAATATACAAAGAGTTATTGTTAGTAATAATGAATTCACCGATACTCTACTCATCCGGTCTATTTTTTTCTTTAAAAAGATGATTGACATTAAAAGGACTAGAGAAATTTTCCATTATTTGACTGCTGTACCCCAATTTTTGACATTTTTACCTATTATGTCTGTTTGTTTTGCTCACACATTGTTGTCAATATAATGGAATTTTATGTGAATTTCATACAAGTGAGAGGAAATGCCTGTAACAAGTCAGGAACATGACAGTTGTTTTCCATTCGTTTGATGTGTTTGAGCTTTTGATTTTGCCATTTGTTAAAGGACTTTCTGTTTTGCATTTTCCTTGAAATTCGGTTTTTTTGTTATTTTAGTTTTCATTGATCGTGCTATATACAATTATTGTTTTGGTATATCTATGTCTCTGCAACTTCAATATAAAACTCACCAAAGATTAAATATAAAGGTGTAAATAAATTCATCACAGACACCAGTATTAACATTGTGTACGCTCGACAGGCGTTCCGTCTATTACCCAGTTCTTAAAGAAAAAAAACAGCTTTTTGCATGTGTATATTTAGGTAATTCTTAACTATTTTTTTACGTTTTTCAAATTGCTGAAGATATTTCATTTAAAACTGTCCAACAAAACAATAGGCATACTTTCATTTGTAACTAAAATAACACATATCTTGTAAAAATGCGTACAACAATTCTTTGTCTAATTACAGGTTACCCTAAATCAGGTGGTAGTAAGTAGACGTATTCAAACTTGTATACAATTTTACCGATTTTTAAATGAAAATAAAGCATTCACACAATAATTTTGCTTAACTAATAATGCTTGTTAACGGGATTTATCCATAACATTTTGATAGAAAAGCGTTAGATTCCAGATGAACCCATTGTCAATATAAAGAACATTTCTCCTTTAATTTGAAATATTTGAGACGAAGGAGTTTTTATAGGACTGGTTTAAAGTTTAACAGAATTTACATAACATGTATATGAGCTAGAATCCCAAAGGGATAATCATGTACACTACCATGTACATAAAAAAGGCCCATTGAGCAAATCAACTTGAGTTTTATTTTACATGTATTTTATAAATATTTTGTACCCATTGAAACTAAATATAAAATTGGATGATAGGTTCAAACAACTCATTTGCTTAATTTAGACAACATTTCGAAGATCAATTTCGCCCTCGCCATTTTATACTAATGCAAGGGATCTATTTTGTATATTAAACACTCATGTATAGAAACTTTGATGTTGAACTGATTTGATTTGATTTTA